TAAGAAATACCTTTTCTTGGAGTAGGAATTCTCGTCCGCCATTTTTATCAATAAACAGTGTGTTTCGATTGTTCTTAAATTGACAGCAAACCGTAAAATCTTTAAAGAATGTTGGCTAATAAGAGTACCTTTTCGCCCGTCTGTTAAATTGCGTAAAAACACAAAATAGTGTTACGAAATTAGTTTTCTCATTTAAATGACTATGAATTTTTCAGATGTGAAATGGCTGAAATCTCATTTTTAATGGAATCTTCAAACATGATCTGAAAGAGCATCCATTCTTTGTTTACAACATCTTTTTTTTGTCTATATAATAGCAAAGCAGCAACATCAGTCCAATGAAAACTTTGAGTAATGTAATGGCAACGGAACAAATCTCACGATTTTTCCCCGGTTGTTATTTACAATTTCTTTCGCCACTTGGCAAATGCCCATATTTGCAATGGAACACTCCCTTATCACACTTATCACCTTCCGCAATCAAACACGATTCCTCTCTTCTATTAATCTAATACACAGTGGAACACGGTGTAATTCTCACCATAAAGCAGATGCATGTATCAATTAATGGAGCTACATCAGCACGTACTTTCTCTATTATTTGTAACGGTTGTATAGTATTGTAACTCTCGCTGAACCGGTTCGAGAACAGTAACAAATTCCAATTCAATTACAAAGGATTTGCAATGTTCCTGGAAGAATTGGTAGGTTCTTCGCTCTGAATATACGATTTCATGATTACACGACTCAGTGTTCCAAAGCCGCAAATAAATTTAGGCTGGGGTTGGGGTTTGAACTTGACCGTGTAGGTGTCCGAGTCCAATGCTGTATCCATTAAACTGCCACCGGCCCACCAGTGTGTGTGTGTGTGTGTGTGTGTGTGTGTGTGTGTGTGTGTGATGTTCTGAGGCTCGGATGACGTTGGAAACAACCGCCTGGAGCCACTGTTTCTCGGCGACACTCACATTTTCAGTGCCAAGGAAGCTGAAGTGCGCAGGCGATTCGGGGTTGCTCGGACGGCCAAAAGTTGTTTTTTTAACCGCTTAACGTGGGGTAGGAAGGGGCGTGTTCTCGACCGCAAACTCACTTATAAAAGGCTTGACGGGAATTGGAAACGCCCGTTCGTTATCCCCGGTTGCCGGCGATAGTCACGGCATACGCGTTGTGGGCAGTAAGGAGATGAGACACGGTTGCCGAGCCGCCTGGACTTCGGTTAGAGAGGTCCCCAGTGGGAATTTTGCTTCGTCGTGGATACTCTTGGGAATCAAGACGTACCCGGCTGTCAGTATCACGTAGCAACGTGCTGCTGAATGGGGGAGCGGATAAGCCGAAAAGGCAGGTGCCGGCAGTGGAGTGAGTGAAATTCCCTCAGGTGTGAAACTAAAGTGTCCTTGGGAGGCACACTCTAAACACTGAGTCTTGTCCTGAAGTTTCCCCCTACCCACATTTTTAGGCAATTCCTCGTACTCAGATGTACAACAGGTCACTTTCTGATGCAGTCAAGGAGATTCTATGAACCTGCCGAGCATCTATCTATTCAAGTTTGCCAAACAATCAGAGGTAGTATCACATGCATATAACTCCTTTATATGAAGTTTCTCACTGTATGATTATTTTCTATCCCTCTATGCCGTCTACAAGTATGTTGTTTATTCTAACACCTGCAAAATATAATTTGATTGTGTAAATTTCATGTGTAAATTTCAAATAGCATCAGTAAGTATTAATACAAAATTAGTTTTACAAATCCAAAACTAGTTATACTTTTACAGTACACACATATCAAAACACAAGGGTGAATGTTAGAAATTATCAATTTCTTATTTTAAAAAATAATTTTCCGATTCGATTCCTTTTCGCTAAAGAAGCGTCTTGCTACATGTGACAACCTTTGGCAACCTCAAGCATCACAAATGAGTAAAATGAGAGGCACACTATTGACAAATAAGAAATTTCTTTCCCACTGCAGCCAAAGTCTTGCTCGAAATCGCTAAAGCTGTCGTGGAAATTCAGTTCATGAGTAACTGAGGATCGTTCCTCTGTAATATGTCATTTTTAAGGTGCTGTATTTTACGTACGTCATCTCCGTGAGTTGAAAACTTTCGTACTATAACTTCACTTTTTGCGTAATATGTAATGGCGTGTTCCGTTTTTCCGAATTTGACACTATTGAATATTTCTTTCTTTGCGATACCATGTATCTTCGAAGCCGCTGCTAATTCTAAAATAAAATAAATGGAAAATTGTCACAAATAGGTGAAAATTTCTCAAAAACTACTAACATGTTGAAAAGTAAACTGTACATGAAAGTTTTATAGCCACTAATATTCTTCTAAATAGGTTGCATTAAGAAGGAAATTTCTGACTAATAATAGCCAAAGCCAGCGGTGCTATAGAATTGTAAGATTTTCTCGTACTAGTTGGTTCATATTAATTTGAATCTAGGCTTGAATTTTGAATTTGTTCGTCCTAGCTACTTTCTATCGGCGCCTAAGAGAGCTGTAGAGCGCCTAAGAGTCCTGTATGCTTCTCTATGAACACTTCCACTCAAGAGCACCTTCGCATTTACCGAACATTGCATCAACATATTCGGCTCTCGATCGTCACGTATTGGCTCATTGTTCTCTTTGGCACCATCCCGATGCTTGTTCAATTGTTCAGAATTTATGGGTCCTATTCCTCAATTACACATACAGTTGCCTATCAGTTCAAGAAATTATAAGAGGTAAAAGACGAGGGACATGTAAAGTTCTCGCACGCCATGAACACAAAATAATATTTCAAACGCTTACATTTTTGTGCTTACCCATACATAGGTATATACGGAGTAATATACGTAGTATAGGGAAAGTTATGTAATGCTGCGGAAAATCGATTTCAAGATTTCAACGGAAATATACCTTTTTGTATATAAATACACGTATCAATTAACAGAACAGTTTAGTTCACTTATGTTATATTTAGTATATCGCGAAAATCGGGTTTCCTAATTTTTGCACTCCTACTAGTAGAATTGAAATAGGAATAGATGATTAATACTTGCTTTTATTTGAAAACATTCACTGAATAATTTGATAGCGTTTTTGAAAAAAGTTTGAACGTTTCTAAAAATTGCAATTTTGAATTCATTTTCTCAAACAAATAGGAGGAGGATACTTCATAAGAAATTATTTGAATAACTTGTGGTAACAAACGCAATAATGTTTCAAACTACCCTTAATGTAAATATTAACCAATGTGTGTGTGTGTGTGTGTGTGTGTGTGTGTGTGTGTGAGAGAGAGAGAGAGAGAGAGAGAGAGAGAGAGAGAGAGAGAGAGAGAGAGATTTCAATAAAACGAAAATGTAATTTTTGAAATATCAAGATTCCAACTCGAAGACGAGGAACTTCGAAAAAGTATTTGGATTTTTGGGGACACAACCGCTGTTTGTCTTATTTTGAAAATTATTGTAAAACTGGCTCCAATATTTTTATTAAACTTTTTCCTCAAAATGCTTACAAAATGGGACAGGTCTAATTTTCATTGAAGTATCAAAAATTGCAAAAGTTCACATTTTTGTCGTCTTCCTATATCTACCTTACTTAAGATTAGATTTTTCTTAATGACATATTCTCCAATAAATTTGTAAATATTGTCAGGTACAATTTTTTGAAAATGCGGGAAGTTTTTACGCAACCATGCATAATATTTAGGCAATTTAAAAGAGTATTTTTTAAAAATTTCTTTCTCGGATTTAGCAATATGATAAAAATGTTTCAGATCCCATTTTCGGAAAACTCAGAATCCTCAAAAAATGCAATAATAGAAATAATACCACAAAGTATGTTGAGTTGCTGTAGAGTGTCTTATCTTCAATCAGTATACAGAGAGTAATCAGTGGGAGTTGTGCATGCATCGTAAGAGCAAATAATTAAAATTGCATGAAGCTAAAACAGAGGAAAAAGTAGATTGCATGACTTGCGCCAGAGAAACAGATCGATCCTCTCTTCTTCAGAGCTTCCGCCCTTCCACTGTGGTAGCTTCCTTCGCTTATACACGAGTGTGATACGACTCATGTATGAGCGAAGAGAGAGGGCTCAGTGGGAAACATGGTGGTAAGAGACGGGTGAGTTCTTGCGCATCGTATCCAACTTTAGCCAATGAGCTTCAGGCACCAGTTTGCATTACACTATTTGCAAGAATATTAAATGCCTAAATTATCACGTTACAAGTGAATGAAACAGATTTATGAAGCCGTTTATCTAAATACTACATCATTTATTTCTTTTATACCTTCATCGTGATATTTTTGGTTGGTCACCATTAAAAATTGTGATATTACGCCACTTTCAAAATATTTCTTAACACTTCTTGCTCTCCATACTATATGGCGGCTAATGTTGTTTTCAAACTAATTACTAGTCATGGTCCCATGGTTCAAGACGTCAACTCGCGCCGCGCAAAAGAACAAAAATCGGCGCACCGGGGGAGACCATCCTCCCTTTCCATCATGGTAGCGCGTTTAGCATTTGAAAAGGGCGTCATCAGGTGGTCGATTCAAGAGGAAATCATCATCTACCGGGTTGTAAAGTACCATTGAAATCAGATTGCTCTTCAAAACGCAGAATCGCTGTTTGAGGAGGGCGGATGCTATAAAAGATGTGCTAAAGTTACAACTTTCTCTTCAGAGCAATTTCGACCGTTTTTACGCTGCTTAAATGCGCCCTCAGTTTAAACCTCGCGCGAAGTCAACTTTCTAATTGAGTCAATTTTCAGGTTATACATTTTTACTTAAAACTAATTTTATTCGGTATTTACATTGAGGAAACCAAAATAAGTGGAGAAGGAAATGTTTCCCTGCCCTTCCCCGAAAAACTGGCCGTTTTATTCAATACCAAAAAAAAAAAAAAGATTTATTTTAAAATTTGATCAATCTGATATTGCATTGTAGTAAACCTAATCATTCAAACCCAAACTATACAACTTCTTTAATCGCATAATAAATCCCATTGTATTCGCAGGAACCGTAACGATACGATAGGCAGCGTAGCAGAAGATGCCGACAAGTCCAACTCATCGCTGTGCTGCAAGCCGTGCCCGAGCAACTCCACGTGCACGGAGGAGAACACGTGCACGTGCGCGCAGGGGTACCAGTTGCGCGGGCGTAAGTCGATCATTTGCCAGCCCGTGTGCAGCCCGGCGTGCGATCGCAATACCGAGCAGTGCGCGGCGCCCGATCGCTGCGACTGTAAGAAGGGGTAAGTGGGTGCGTTTTGCGTAATTGCTGCAGCTGGAAGAAACATTGATGTTTTGAAACATTGATATTGTTTGATCACTGTTGCATCCAAAACCGAGTGGGATGATGTGGAAGGCGTGAACAAGTTATGGATGACAATTTAAAAAATCATAGATTAATACTCATATGTATTTTAATATGAATGGATGAAAACCAGAACAGTGTAAGTGGCATTTTATAAATTCTGAGAGAAACATGTTTATTAAGGCTACATTTCAGTGGCAATGTATTTTCGTGGTTTTATTGAACAATTGAAATGACGTGGTTTTAATTATGAAACAAATCACTCTGATTTTACAGTGAAATTAACTTAAAGAGATTTCTCAGAATGTATAGAATGTCACATGTACTTTTCTGGTTTCCACTCTCTGTAATTTAAGAAAAAATCCTTTTCATAAAAACAATCTTTAAGAAAGATTTACTTCAAATGTAAATTAATGTTAAAATATATAAAATTTTCTGGTTTAGTAAAGTAGACTTAAATTATGAAAAATATTGAAATTTAACTGTAACATTATTATAATTTTTAAAAAGGTTGCTTTTTACTATAATAATGCTCTTAATGACCTCGGCCCTTTTTAACGCGACCTGAAATAGATAATACACTCTTTTTAGCATAAATGTTACACACTTCAGACAAGTAGAGGGGTTGAAGATCATTTATTACCAATGAAAATTTGGTCGGAAGGTTCATAAAACGAAATTACTCATATCATATTTGGCCCTGATTATTAGACAACATCGCATGTACCAGTATTCGCCAGGTACTCAAATCTCTGGCTGCATCAGAATGTGACCTGTCGAGTACAGGTGGATAAAATGCTCTATGTTATTTATTTTTGATCGAAATTATCTTATCTTTTATGTAATTCACAGTTTGTAACTGTCGCAAAATGGCACAATAAATTCTGTAATCTACATTCTTGTTCTTTTTCATCTGCACGAGTTACTGGGTCCTCCATCTCCCCGCAACACAACATTTATTCTACAAATTCTACAAATGTGCACTAAATGATCTATAAAGATTTGCGTCAGTCGCGTTGTGACAACAGCAACAATTGCAAGAACAGCAACAACTGCAGTCACAACAGCTACAATTAGATCATTTACAGCAACTCCTGACGCAGCAATCACAGTTTCCGCTATTAAGTAGCAGTACTCTGCCATTATTCCTCTCTGCAGTACAGTCGTCAAGTTCAAGTTCAACCGATGTAATAAATCCAAAACTTAATCGATCTGACAG